TGCTTTGCCTTTCAGAGATGGCTTCCCCTTGTGCTCTGCCCCCTTTTTGAACCCCAGGCTAGCGACCCTGCTCTCATGATGACACACGAGTGAGAGCCCTGGTATTTGGGGAGGGAGGACTGACTCAGCTTCACGTTTCAGAACAATCAGGCCAAATCTGTGTGGTGGGGCCACTGCGTTTTGTTTGTGAAAGGGTATATGTGCTCCTTTAAGATTTCTGTGAAGCAGATGAGTATGTGATGTCCCATTCGAACGTTTGGAATAGGTAGTCTCCTTTTCCTGGGCAGTGAGCACAGACTGGCTGGGAAGATGGGGTCAGCCATAGCCGATTCGGCGTCGTTCTCGCTTGGGGTAACTGTGTGCTGGGGGGTGAAGTGGGGCCCATGGGCGGCCGTGGCCGGTTCATCAGTCGGCAGGCGGCGAGAGCTGTGGGCCACATCTGGGGGAGGAAACGGCTCGGTGGCTGTAAGAGAAGGAGCATTTTCTGTAACTGCAGGATGTGTGGATGGAGCATGCAGATAGCATCTCTGCAGCACGTCGGTTAAATACCCGGGTGCTGCGAGATAAGGATTTACTAGAGGACTAAAATAGGATGTGAAACTGAGGTTTTGCTTCTTGTGTTCAAGTAAAGCAGCTTTTTTTAAAGTCATTGAGAATTGTCCTCTGTCTGCTTCACTATATTCAAATCAAGTTTGGTTTTTAAAAGGTGAATGAATGGTGTTACAGAGCCACGTCCCTGCCCGTTTTTAACGACACAGCTAACTCCCAGTTAGTTGGAGGAGAGGGTTGCTCATTTAAATGCAGATGAAAAGAAATAACAGATTAGTTGCAAGAGTCCAGGAAGGCAGGTGAGATACACTATGTCTTGAAGGTGTGGCACAGAGGGGTTTGAGCTCAGGCCAGCGGGTGAACAGGGCAAACACAGCTCGACAACTTGGAGCCCAACACGGTCATCCAGCACCTTCTCAAGTTTGTGTGCTTGTGGTGCTCTGTCCTCTGTCCAGACAATCTGCCAGGAGATGAGAGCGTTTACTCTTGCTGGTTGTGCAGTCAGCAAGCAGAATGTTTATTCTAACACTAAAAGCCTCTTTCTAAAGTAAAAGTAACATATTTTCTCTTCTTGTTTGAAAAATTGTAATGCTACTTTGAGTTGCAGTAGGAGTTTGCAATTTTTACTAGCTTACACCAGCTGAATTTTTGTTCAGGTGGCTGTTATACAAAAGTTTCATTTCACCTCAAGCTGCGTCTTCCATTTCAGATTTCAGTATGTGGCAGTTTCCCTAGGTCTCAAAATCTGACAAACTAATGGGCTTTGGCTATGCCAGTACATGGAAAATGAGGGAGAACTTACTCTCTTCCTTCAACATGCATATAATAATGCTTAACTTAATTACACAAGCGTGTGCTGTCACTGCCAGAAGATCCATGCCTTGTTTGGTTTATAGGGTGGACTCTACTCTGAAAGGAGGCAGCAGAATAATCTGTCTTTTCCTCTTGTGTGTCGCTATAATGGTGTTTCTTTGTGTGGCATTAAATTCATCCGGTGAGTATGAAATTGGTAATTGCCTGACTTCAAGCCCTCCTTCCTCCTACTGCTCTCTAGTGCTTTTCACCTAAGTGTCTGAGTTTTACAAGACTGCCTTCCAGATATTATTATGAAAAGCACCTGGGGCTGTGGGCAGGACTTAGAAAATTATATAAATGCCATTAATCTGGGGTTAGCAGCAAAATCTTGAAATAGTTACTCTAACAAAGACATCCTTTTCCATCCGTTAATCAAATTGTGTAGCTCAGTAATACTAAGTAGGGGAAGCTGAGGGCTTTATAGAAGTAGTGTGGCTTTTGCCTTACTGTGACTGTCTTAAGGCCATTTTCAGAACAGAGAATTCTGAAAGTTTTTTAAATACAACTTTGAGCTGGATTTTGAGGTGCAGTAGCAGATCACGTGCTCATGGACAAGGGCAGTAATTTATTAATATTCTGTTAAGTTGGGAAATTGAGAGGGAACCAGCATGGTTTTATCTGAAAAGAAGGAAATATGTGGTTAAACGGTTTTGGCTACAGTCTTAAGTGGTTTCCATCCTCCAGAAAAAGGAGAGGGGGGGAAAAGGAGTCTAAATTCCTTTCTCTAAAATAAAGGAAAAAGCACCAGCTTTATGGTGTGTTTTAATGAGAGAAAAGTTCCTGCATAAGCGCATGTGGCTTCAGTATGAATTATACTGAATTTGAACAATAATACAGTAGTTTCAAAACTCAAAGATCTTGTCAAGGATTTTGTCCTTTCTGAGGTGAAAAAAGTTTTGTTTATCTGAATTTTGAAGACCTACTGAATCCAGTGGGGTAAAGCTCTGATTGAGGAGCCAGGGCAGAGTCCTTTATCTGGCAAGGTCAGCTGTGGGCCAGGGTTCACCATCTGCTTTGTCAGCAGCTCGGCTCTTGGTCAGTGTGCTTGGGGCAGATAGCAGGCATCGGCAATCACATCAGCGCTGTCAGCTCGCTTCCCTTTTCCCCTTTGACTGCTGAAGGCTTTCACCGAAATTCCAGCGCTGCTCAGGCTTCCAGGTGAAGCGTTGAGGCATCGCATTTGAAGTATGGAGACCGCAGCAGCTACGTCTCGGCTACCTACTGTGTGCACTGAACAGGTTTGTGTGTAATACCCAAAAATAATAAATTTGCAGATAGTGCTAAAACAAGGCAGTTTGTGGCAGCAGAACATTCCTTGTCAAAGAAACAAAGAAACAAAATATTCTCCTCTGGAAAACTTGAAAAGCTAGATTTTTGTCATCTGTGAGAAGTCCTATGTAACTGTTGATGTCCTGGGCTTTTGTTGTGGGCCAGGAGGACAGGGGAGGCTAAGGTGAAAGGTAAACCCTAAATGAAGATCAGCAAAATGCTTGTTTGCTGCTGCAAGAAGTAACGAGCATGAGAGTACAGACTGTTTGGTCTTTACAGACCCATAGTTAGGTTATGCTGCTGCTTTTTTATTTTTCCTTTTGAATGATTCTGAGTTCTTAAAATGACTTTTGATTCTAATAGTCTCTAAGTATCTTTCACTTTGGAACTAATTAAATGCATCTATTAAATTCACGGTGTGTACTTCGTTTATTTCTCGTGAGATGAATGAGTGAAGACTGTGCCGGAAGGGAGTGAGGTTGTATTTTGTATGTTTGAAATGATTAATCTTGAAACGAGGGCTGTGGGAGGTGGTTTCCTGGTAGTCGGCACCTCGCTCGCGCTGGTTCCGACGCCTCTGCTCAGGAGGGCCACTGGCCGGTAGGTCTGCACCCCGCAGAGCGCGCTGTCGTCGCGGGCAGGATGGGTGTGATGGCTTGCATCGCTGGTCTGCGAATGCGAGGGCAAAAACCACTCCGTGCTCTGCTTGGGGTGCACCCTGCAGTAGGAGAGGCGATACGAAGAGCGGCTGCTTGAGCTAGCTTGTGTTTCTGTGTTACTGAGCTACAGCTTATTGTACTAATTAAAACTTCTTGAGTATATTGCTTCATACTGAAGTGTGATGAGCTGTAATAATCAAGCTCAGAGATCAAGTGTGTATTTTCTTTGGCAGATAACATTGCTTGTTTGTCAGTTGGTTTCGTGTTATTTGTTCCCTTTCTTCCACTTACGGACGGCCTTTCGTGGTGTTCAGTGCTGCGTTTTGCCGGGACAGCCCTTGCAGAAGGAAGGCTCACCTTCCGTCCGTACCTCCGCTGACTCTTCGCCTGCCCTGTTTCTGCCCGAGTGCCCTGAGCTGAGAAGTGTGGAGCTGAGCAGGCAGGCGCAGCTGGGGGGCTTTCAGATGCGCTGTAGTGCTAAAGATCAATTATACTTTGAGGGTTTGCCAGAGGATGAAGTTAGATCTGCTAGAGGTGGCACTGGGTGAAAATTCCCCTACCTCTCTGGGCTGCGCCTGAAGACTGAGAAGACAAGACAGGGTTTTGAATGTCTAGGCAGTCTTTAAATCAGGGGTGAGCACTGGCCTCTGTGCATGGTTTGCTTCTCTGGCAGTTCAGCTAAGGCACGCTGCTGTGCTGTGAGGGGTTAGACTTGCCGAGTAGGCTGAAATCACTACTGGAGGATGGCGGGTTTTTTTCCTTTATTCTTAGCAATGAAGATAATTTTGCCTTTTTTTTTTTTTTTTTGAGGCTGTTTTTTTTTTGAGGCTGGTGTCATTAAATATAGGGTGTCAAACTGCTTTAGTGTTGTATTTGGTTCTTTTTATATTTCCTGTGTGGAGATGAATCTCTGGCCTTTAGAAGGGGAAATGCTTGTGCTTTAAATCACTGTATCATCTGCCGTTATCTAGATGCGGGGCCTGAAGCTCATGCATTATTCCTTGCTGCAGCTCAAGGCACTGTGCACGTTGATGCTGTAGATGGTTTTTGATCGTCTGCCGTTGCTTCTTCTGAAAAGCTGTTCACAAATGCTAGAATAGATGCAGGAAGACTTTCTTATTTTTAGCACGGTGTGTGTATATAGTGTATTTTGCTAAACTCTGACTTGTTAAATTTGAGGAGGACTGAAACTGGTGCTTGCCCTTTGTTGAAAGAGCTCATGTATTGGGGTAAAATACAGTGCTTCTTGGGAGCAGGAAAGCATGTGTTTGCTTAAGCATTTAAATGTGCTGTGAAGGATCCTCCCTGTCTGGCAGCATGCCGCCTTCCTTGTGACAGAAAGGTACGCTGACAAGAAAAACAGTTGCTTTAACTGGAAGCGGCAGCAGAATTCTAACCAAATCCTGGTGCATGCCAGTTTATAAAATGAGAACACAGCTTAAATTTATTCCATTCAGTACAGTAGGCAAAAGTTACAGCGCTTGCTTGATTAAAATAAGTTCTTGGAAAGGAAGCAGGAGAAGCTGTTAAGCAGAGTCTCGTGTGACCAGCTGGTTTGGATGTTCTTCTAAGAATACACACAGAAGCTTCCTGCGTCAGTATTTTCATTGTGCAGGCATGTGTGTAAAGGCTTTCAAACTCATAGCACGTGTTTTGCTTTTCTTTCAGGTGTACTTGAAGGCCCCCATGATTCTCAATGGTGTCTGTGTAATCTGGAAAGGCTGGATAGATCTACAGAGACTGGATGGTATGGGCTGCCTGGAATTTGATGAAGAGAGAGCACAGGTAAGGCAGTCTGCCCACGGCTACTGTGCCTTAGACGTTTGTTTGTTCTTCTGGAAGGAAGGAAGGAAGCAGGTACTGATCACACATTGTAATTTGCTTGTCTTCACTTTGAGTACAAAATCCAAAGAAAATTTATAGTATAGAAGTTCAGAAGTATGTGGTTGTAACTAAACTACTGTTTTAATTAGATCACAGTATGAGGGGCAGGAGTCATCTGTAGTTTACAACTGTGTGTGTGCTACAGAGTAGTAAATCTGTATGAAAAGCTATGTCTGTAACTAACTTGAAACAATTTAACTGGCAAGTCTATTCTAGCCATTTATTTTAAGGTGTTTTTTTGCAAGTAGCTTTTTGTTTTATTACATATGGGGGTTGTGAATAGGATTTTTCCATGTGTTCTCTTAAGTGGTAGACTCTCTGCTCTGTTAAGGTATGGCAGCTTCTGAGAAACGTACTTGCTACCAGCAGAATGACTGTCTAGCAGCTGAATCTCTGGACATGCACAAGAACAGAGTAAACTCAGAGGAAATGACTCTTCAGAGTGCATATCACATATCTGGAAGTTTCACTTACACAGCTGTAGGGTTCCTTAATTTAGTCAGACCGGAGACAGGCCTTCTTTACTTTTGAGATGTATCTTGGTAACAGAGGTGCTTAACTGATATTATAACACTGGGTTTGTGCAGGCTTCACCTCTCCGCAGCGGATGGTAAATTGGTTGCAGTAACATCAGTTGCCAGAGATATGACTTACAATCTGTATTTTATGGTGAACTCAGCAGTTCACTTCTGTAGTCTGACAATTTAGAGTTACTAGAACTGTATGAAAGCAGGGTCCAAAGTGCTGCTCAGTACAAGTTAAGCATGCAGAGAAAAGAAGGGTGAGCGATTTCCTGCAGCCTGTCTTTTTTTCTCCTCTCCACAAGTTCTGTATTGGTACTCCAGCAAATGATTCTTAAGAATGTACTCGGCACCTGTATGTAGGCATCATCTCCTAACTTCTCTCTGAAGACTTCTTCTTTCGCCCAAGACCATCATGACTTCCCCCTAACTGTTCTGGGAACTTGAGTAATTCCCTCTGAAACATATTTCAATGTCTTAAAGAGTAACACTTATCTTTTCATCTTGGTCATGTAACACAGTTGGAGCTTTCTTGATCTCCCTCCTGTTGTTCCCTTAAACTCAGGGACCCAAACCAACTCACTCATCTTGATAAATGAGCCAATTTGTGAGACACTGGTGATGCCCTTTGTCTGTCTTTGGTACACCTCGTGTATTTTATACATGTGGGTGGTTTTTGCAATAATTTATTATTCACACAAACCTTTTGCTTTTCCAAACTACCTTTATGTTCCCTTTGTGCCCCCAGGGACACAAAGCCCTCTTGGGGATTGCTTCTGGCAGTTGTGCACTGGAATGGAGTTAAATAAGGATGTGTTTTCTGTGTCTAGCGTGTGCCTCTCATTCTCAGCCCTCGCTTCCTTGCAGTTTCTCTTCTAGTCGTTCTACAGCCGCAGTTGGTCACTGCCGAACAGGTAGCAACCCTTTGGTTCCACCTAAATACAAAGAGCCCTCCTCTATTCCAGGCATGCAGAACCGGAGGGCGTATGGATTAAATTTTTTCTGTTCAAGAACTGGAAATACGAAAATCAAATTTTATATGGCAGTATGTATAGTTGCAAGCTTCGTGGTGCCTTGCTTCTCCCTAACTTAAGAAACCAGTGTGCACGTTAATGAGATCATGTTATTGTGACTAAGTTCTGGGTTAAACAGAAATACTTTGTCTTTGAAATAGTCACAGCCCTGCCTGCTTTCTGCAGGATGCTGAGAGGGCGCACTGTTCTGAGAATAGTCCTGCTGCCTTTTGTTAATCTGCCAGAAAAGCCACGGAACCAAGCATTTCCTTGAATGCTGCTCTTCACTGTGGCATTCGCGTCTTCCAGAGCTGGGTGTCAGCGTTTGAGTGGGCTATCTTCGTGTTGCGGCGGCGTGTTCCTTGGGAAGAGAGCAATGGCTGTAGGCTACGTTGATTAGAAACCCTTTAGACAATAACGGCTTGCAAGGCAAGGTAGAGTGTAGACTCATGAGGGCTGGGCAAGATAAATCCCAAGGTTCTTCATCTATGACTGTTAAGTTTGATGCATAATGCTAAGTCACGTGCCTTCTGAATTGAGAGGAGGCCAATTTGAACGTGCACTCAGGAGGAGATAATGTCACTCTTGTCCAAATTTGGATAGTTCCTGAAAAAAGTGGGCACCTTTCCAAAAAGAGGGTGGCCGGGTGATCTGTGGGTTCAGTTTTACTCTTTTGAATTTCCCAATAAATGTTCTTGCATGCTCTTGGATTATTTTAGCTTCCTGATGTGTATACAGTGTCTTAACTACATCTAAGAATTCCTTTTTGCTGTCTTCAGAAGGTGTTTGTGCACTGAGCCTGTGATTTATTCTTACTTCTGGTGTCATGAGGGCATGTGTGCATGCGCTCAGGTATCAGTGCTTTCTGGGGTTTTGAGTATAGGGTGCTGAGCTGGAGGTATTACGCAGTGTGGATCTACGGAGATACATTTGCACTCAATTAGAAGTGTGTAATTTGTTTTCAGTCTTCTCAGCGATTACGAGGAGGTCGTCGGTCACCTTACTTGGCATGGTAGTAGTGCCTAGGAGTTCCCAGTGTCCCAAGGCTCTGTGCAAACACTCTGCACCCTGGTGTTTGTTACGACTGTAAACATGTGGGCAGTCTTCTACATTCTTCAGTTTCCTTTTTCCTGTAGCTGTCATTCTGGTTTCTTTTTTAAAACTGTCTTCATATTGCCAGTGGCTGACTGCTGACTTTGATCCCAGCACAAGGCTGGTGTCGGGGTGGGTTTCAGTGCCTCGAACTGTGTGGTGTGGTGCCTGGGGTACCTGCTGTCTTTCTGAATGAGAGATCTTATTGGCATGCATCCACCTCCCCCTCCGGGCACCTCTTACTCCCGTTTTCTGGAAGGCTTGCTGTATCCAAATGTGATGCTCTTGCATTTTCCTGTCTCTCACTACTTCTTACCAACTAATACTGGGATCAGATTAAGTTTTTCTTCGCTGCTGCACTTTGGAAATGACACTGTCCTTCACCAGATTAATAAATGTTCTAGGAAGAAAAACCACACGCATAACAATGAAGTACTTTAATTGTAACTTTTAAGCTAGTGTTCTTTCTAATTGATTCACAGCCTATTAATGTCTTACCACTAGACAGCCTTACTTTCTGTTCCTGGAGGCCCTGATCCGGCTGCTTGTTCAGAGTGCGCTGGACTAACGCACCCAAAACTCTACGTATGTGCTTGAACATCTCCCCCATTTGGGGCTGACATTTCCCTGGATTTGGTGTTGATCTCGAGGATTATGAACAGCCCGGTTCTGTCCCCAGTACGTCCGTACTGAAGCACACTCTGGCTGTGTAGATGGGGTGATGCTCACCCAGTCTGTCCCTCCCCGGCTGCTGGGCGGGGGGGCTGCGTGCGTGAGTGTCTGCAGGCTGCTGGCTTGGCTTTTTCTATGTTGAGGCATTTGGTTTGATCTGTTCTTGTGTTGGTATGGCTCATGTTTTCCTTATTCTTTTGTTTTTGGTAGATTTACACCAGGATCATTTTTACTGATAATAACTGAAATGGATATATGATTGCGTTTCGCAAAGCCAAAGTTGCAAGGCTATAATTACTAAATTTGGTTGACCTCTGAGAAGAGGTTTGTTAAACTTCTGATATACAAGATCCTGGGATGTTTGTTGGTTTCTGTTATGACATGTCAGCAAGAGTAGAGCAGAATTTTTTTTTAAACTTAAAAATAAATTCTGATG